TGCTGGTACGGGATGGCACTGCGCCTGCCTTCTCAAGAATAGGACGGCCAAGCACGTAGCACGCCAGATCATGAACGAGTGGTTCAAGCATTACGGCGTGCCAGAAAACATCGTGATCGATCAGGGCGGCGAGTTCGAGGGCTACTTCAACGCCTTGATGGAGCAGTTCGGCATTAATACGAAGACGACGGGAGCTCATGCAGCATGGCAGCATGGCCTGGCCGAGCGCCACGGAGGATTGCTCGGCACTATCTGGGGCAAGGTGGTGCACGAGTTCCACGTCCAGGGCAAGTCGATGTCTACTGTGGCCCTGGCTGCCATCATCAATGCGAAGAACTCGACGATCAGCCGCAATGGATTGACCCCGGAGCAGGCTGTCTTCGGGCGAATCTTGAACTTTACGGAGGTGACTAACAGGGACGACGATGAGGTTCTCATGTCGGTCCTCGGCGCCAAGGGCATAGCTTGGCGTTCGTCCCAAATCCGCACCGCAGCAAAGATGATGTTGCTGGAGCGCGACGCGACGGACAAGGTGCGGAGGGCGCTGCTACGACAGGCGCCGACGGTCGTCGGTGATCTGTGCCCAGGATCGAGGGTGTATTTCTGGGCACCGAATCCGTTCAAGGGACGTCGTCGGCAAGATCCTGAAAGATGGCGGGGTCCTGCGACTGTGATCGCGAAGGAGTCCAACAGCCGTTACTACGTATCCTGGCGTGGTCACGTGCTACTTGTTGCTCGTGAGCAGCTCCGGTACGCCTCCTCCCAGGAGGCCGCAGCTGCGGAGGCCATCCAGACGGACGTGCGACTGACACAGCAGCGAGATGACCGCGCTTACCACGACATCGTGGACGTCACGCCCAAGGTGAAGGTTCAGAAGGTGAAGAAGACGTTCTTGAAGAAGGAGCGTGACCGACATGGGGAGCTCGAGGGGTCCAGGCAGCCTCGTGTGGACCTGAGGGCCCTGGACGCCATTGAGGCACAGGCCAAGGAGGAGGAGCCGCCTGAGCAGCAGCAGCTGCCGCAGCTTCCCCCTCCGAAGAGGGAACGTTCTCGTTCCCCTCCAGGGCGGATATCCTCTGAGGTGTACCCGAAGGCCTCTCCGGGAGCATCGGGCTCTGGCGGCCCTTCGGTGCCGCCGATTCCCAGAGACGATTTCGAGCTTGAGCGAAAACGGAAGTTCCTGGTAGATGACGTGCCGATTTGCATCAAGAAGACGCGTCTGCAGGCTGCTCCTACGAGTGGTTTGCCGGCCCTCCGCGAAGTGGCCATGAACGCCGTTGTGCACTCGGGGCCTCAGGAGTGGTTCGACCAGAATGCCTTGGATGGTGTCTCCACGCTCGTTCAGAAGGTCGTACGAGGAGTACGTGTACACCGAGAGCCACGGCGGAGACTCTATGATCACGACCGCCACCGGGAGTGCAATCGCCTCTCGGTGATGCTCTCCGCTACGGGCCAGTGTGCCTACAAGGACGACGGCGCGAACCGTACCAACGAGCGCACGGAGGACAGCTGGGTTGGTCTCACGCTTTTCTACCACGACAAGCCGGACGCTCATGCACAAGGGGTGTACTATTTGGACACTCCGGAGGGTCTTGTACGACAGCCGATGACTTACGAAGAATGGATCAACGTGTCATCTGTGTATGACGCATGGCTGCAGGAGGCCCGGTACGAGCACGACGTGTTCGCACTCGTGATGAAGCAGAACGCGAAGGAGCTAGACCCACGTCACTTCAACCAGCACGAGAAGGCTAAGTTCGACGAGGCCGATGCCGCCGAGTGGCGGCAATGGATCGCCAACAACACGGTCGAGCTGGTCACCGAGGAGGAGGAGAAGAGCATCCCGAAGGACAAGATCATCTCGGTGCCCATGCGTTCGGTTCGCACGAACCGGGGGCGAGGGCTGGAGCTGGAGGCGAAGTCTCGCTTGATCATCCCTGGCCATCTCGATCCGCAGCTTGGTCTATTCAGGACGGATTCGCCTACTACTTCCCCTTTGGCTGTGCTGGTGTGTGCGTCTATCACAATGGCGATGGATTGGACATTCGAGTGTTTCGACGTAGCGACTGCGTTCCTGTCCGGGCTGAAGCTGGAACGGGAGCTGTATGTGAGGGCTCCTAAGGACGGGCTTCCAGCCGTCGACGGTGCTGGATGGCCAGCCGTGCGGCCTTATGCGTTGCTTCGCTTGCTGAAAGGGGCGTACGGTCTGACTGAGGCGCCTCGGTTGTGGTATCTCCGAGCCCGCCAGGTGTTGACGGACGAGGTCGGTTTCGTGGAGCTGCGCTGTGCTCGAGCTGTCTTCGTCTATCGAATGAACGACAAGTTGATCGCTATGTTGACCTTGCACGTCGATGACGGCATGCTGTTTGGAGACCCACACGATCCCCAGTACCAGGAGGTGAAGGCGAACATCAACAGTCGTTTCAACATCAAGCACTGGAAAAAGGGCAGTGACAAGGAGGCAGTCGCCTATCTCGGTGAGGAGTGGTGGCGCCACCCCGATCACATCGAGATCAGCATGCACGAGTACATCGGCAAGCTGACGAAGCACCCCCTTGCAAGGGGTGACAACGAGGAGCGGGAGATGACTCCCGAGGAGCACCACGACTACCGGAGCTTGCTCCAGAAGGTGCGGTGGCCTGTCGCACGCGTGGTGCCACAACTCGCGTATAGTGTCTCGGCGCTCGCACAGAAGGATCCGAAAGGTCGGAGGTTGCTGCACCTGCGAGTGCTCAATGACATCATCGACCGGCTTCAGGACTACGACAAGAGAGGTCTTGCGACTCTCCGGATCCGCCGTGTGGACATCGAGCACTTGCAGGTGCTCACGCTTATGGACGCTTCGTTTGCGAAGGAACCCGGCTGTAAGAGCCAGATGGGGTTTATGAGTATGATTACGGACACCCGAGTTTTGAAGGAGCTAACTGTATGCTGTCTAGTGGAGTTTCAGAGCAGTACTATTACACGAGTTGTTGGATCTACGATGGCCGCAGAATCTGCGGCTATGTCCGTGGCTTTGGATCGGCAGCTTTACCTCAGGCTGCTGATTGAGGCAATCTTGTACGGGGAGCCGCCCTTGCAAGGGGACTGGAGGCTGGCGCTGAAGGTTCCAGGGGCGCTCGTGACGGATGCGAAGTCGCTCTACGATCACACGTCCAAGATCGGGTCGATGCCGGTGTCTCGGCAGACCCTCATTGACTTGCTGGTGGCCAAGGATTTGATAGAGCAGGAGGCCATCAAGTTCAAGTGGCTGCCTAATAGCCACATGCTAGCGGATGTGTTGACAAAAGCCGTGCAGCCTAACGAGGTACTATCGCAGTTCCTCCGCCACGGCCTGTTCAGCATGGTGCCTACTGCTGAGCAAGAGGATGAGGAGGCACACCGTCTGCGGCTGCGCCGCGGACAGCGTGAGCGAGCCAAGGAGCGGAAGGCCCAGCGTCGGGTCGCCGTTCCAGGGCCTGCGAGCCCGTGAGGTCCTGATTGCAGCTGCTGATGGACCTAGTGAGGGCTACGGTGATGTACGCATATCTTTTGAGTTGATCGTCTGGAGTAGTGTATCCAGATATTCATATTCTTGTATTTATATTTTGAGCCTCAGGCCGCACCTTGCTTGAGGTGTCTCATGCATATCTTTTGAGTTGACAGTCTGGATTGGTGAATCTAGACATTCATATTTATATTTCGAGCCTCAGGCCGCATCTGCTTGAGGTGTTTCGGCCCGTGGGCTGATATACATTATAATTGCGTGCAGCGTTGCCCTTTCAGAGGGAGCGGCATCGGGGCAGCATTGTACTCACCCAGTGTGAAGAGTGCACTCCCCTGCCCCTCTGCCGCCCGTGCCACCATGTGTGTATGTTGTACACGCTTGTCTTGTTTTGTGGCATGCACGCTGCCCGCCGCTGTTTTGGCCCTAGTCCTAGGGCCCTGGGACGCACCCGCAGTTGGACTGCCGCGCGGTCTTTGCTGAAAACAACTGCACTGACATGTATGTGTGTATGAGTGTTTGTACGTGTATGTGTATGTATGCATGCATGTTTGCATGTATGCATGCATGCATGTATGTATATAGTCGTGTGAGTGTGTGCATGCATGTATGTATGCATGTACGTATGTGTGTATGCATGTATTTGTGTATGTATGTATGTGTATATATGTATTTATGTATGTATGCGCGCACGCATGTCGGTATTATGTGTGTACGTGTGTATGTATGTATGTATGCATGCATGCATGCATGTATGTATGTATGTGTGTATGTGTATTACCATGTGTGTACGTATGTACGTGTGTATGTCTATGTGTACGCGCTTATCTGTAAATGCGTGTGTGGGTGTGTAGATGTATGTATGTATGTATGCATGCATGCATGTATGTATGTATGTATGTAGGTATGTATGTGTATGCCTGTGTATATATACAGATGTATGTTTGTGTGCATGTATGCATGGGTGCATGACTGCAGGTAAGCACGTAAGCATGTAGGTGTATGTATAGATATATGCTTGTATGCATGTATGCATGTCCGTCTGTCTATCCGTCTGCCTGTCTCTGTATGAATGAACGAATGAATCAATGTATGTGTGAATTCATATCAGGACAACGGCTTTGCTAGTGAATGCTCCGAGGACGCCCCCCGACATGAACACGAGCGTAACGAACGACCAACTGGTCTGTCCCGAGTTCCCACCACCAAGGGTGAACGCTTTACTGGACTGAGCGACGTCTCTGCCTGGGAAGGCCCAAAACAATGCCCACACCTACGGTAGATTCGCGCAACGTCGGCGCGCGCAAAGGTTTTTGACACCGCGCCGATCGTTCAAAATTGAATCGAGCGCGACCCCGATGGTTCAAGGTGGAATTCAATCGAGTCCAAAGGCGTTACCGTGTCGATCGGTGCTTCCGCGTCGCGGAATTCAACCGTGAACGCCTTCGCCGGCATCGCAGGCGCGCCAACGCCGCACGAACCTACCGTACAGTGCAGAAGTCTCTCTCAAAGAGGCCCGCCTTAACGCTGCACCTCAGGTCGAAGCTGCCCGCCTTCACGGGAACCAAGAACCACCCCAAGCTCGCCTGGCTCGCGGCCGCTTCTGCACGCTCCTCCTCCTGCTCCTCCTCCCTCCTCGTCCCTTCCCTCCGCCCTCGGCGAGAAGGAGAAGGAGAAGGCCTCCTCAGGAGAGGAGAAGGAGAAGGAGCCTCCTGCTGAGAAGCTTGGTGTGCGCCTTTGAAAGAACCCTGGGAGACTTCCGCGAGGGCCGGGGGGGGGCCTCCGAGCCTTCTGAGAAGGCCCGCCCCTCCTCGATTCCCCCCCCTGCTCCCGAACTCCTCTCTCCTCCTCCCTCCTCCTCCTCCTCTCCTCCTCCTCCTCCTCCTCCTCCTCCTCCCCTCCTCCTCCTCCTCCTCCTCCTCCTCCCCTCCTCCTCCTGGCAGCGGGGCCCCGGAGACCCCGAGTCCGGGGGGATCTCCGGGGCGCTCGGCGCGCGGCGCGGGCCCTTTCCCGCAGGCCGCCGCCCGCCGCGCCCCCACTGTGCGTGGCCGCGAACGCGGCGGAGAGGTTGGGCACCGCCTCGACACCTCCCGGCCGGGTGCCAGACCGCCCAGAAGGTCTGGGAGGCTTGGCCCCCGGCCGGATAGCCGCCCTGCTCCTCCAGCTCCTCCAGCTCGGGCGGCAGTTCGGCGCCTGCCTGCGCGCAGTCAGTCGCCGCCGCCCAGCGCCGGCGCCGCCGCCCGGCCCCCCGCCGCAGCAGCCCGGCCAGCTCCCGCAAGCGCCCGGCGCCCTCCTCCGCCGGCAGCGTCGCCGCCCCGCGCAGCGTCCCCGGCGGCCGCCGGCGCCAGCGCCGCCCGCGCCGCCCGCGCCGCCGCCGCCTGGCCCGCCTAGCGGGTCCTCGCCGTGCTCCGCGCCGGCGCCGCAGGCCGGCGGGCGCACGCCTAGCTAGCGCGCGGGCGGCGCGCCGCCGGCTCGCCGCCGCCAGCCCCGCGGCGCACCGCCCCGCGTGCAGCGAAGCAAGCGGAGCGGAGCGCCTCGGCGTTGCCCCGCTGAAGGGTCGCCGCGAGGCTCTGGCGCGCCGCCGCGAGCGCCTCCGCGTCTCCGCGCGCCCAGGTGCGCAAGAGCGCCTGCGCCTCCTTCCCAGCGCGCCCGAGGGCCTCCAGCGCGAAAGCCGTCAGCGCTGGGCCCGGGTAGCGCGCGTGCTTGCGCTCCTCCCAGGCAGCGGCAGCGGCGCCGTCCCGGGCGGCGCGGCCCCGGCCCGCCGGCGTGTTCGCGCCGAGAGAGGCGTCAGTAACCACCACGTCGACGTAGGCAACGCCGACCGTGGGGTCTGTGAAGGCCACGTCGAGGCGAGCGGCCTCCACGGTGCCGTCAGGGCGCGCGCGGTCCCAAGCGGGCACGAATTGCTCCGTGGCCACGCCTGTCGCGCCGCGGGCGCCGAGCCAGCGGGCGAGCCAATCCCGGACGCCGTCGTGGCGCTGGATCGTGCCGCCGCCGACGTGGCAACCCAGGCAGTGCCCCACCGTCAGGTCGGCCCCGCAGCGCGTGCCGTCCTCCCTGCACCGGCAGCAGGTGGCGCTGGCGGTCGCCGGCAGCGGCAGCTGGAGGCGCAGCGCGAGGGCTGGGAGGAAGTGCGCGTCCGCCAGCACGTGGTCCTCCGCAGTTGGCGGCTGGAGCCAGCTCCCCGCTCCCTTCCCGCTGGCCGAGCGTAGCTGCGCTGCCCGGTCTGGTGGCAAGGAGCCCAGGAGCCGCTGCCGGCGCGCGTGCTGCTCCGGCGCCGCGAGGGCGCGCTGTGCTTTCGCCTGTGGCTCCGCGGCGGCGCACAGCCAGGTCGCGCCGCGCACCTGGAGAGCGCGGCCCGCCCCCTCGGCCGCCCCCCACGCAGCCGGGCAGGCGAGCTGGAAAGCCTCGAGGCTGGAGAGTCCGAGCTCACTGCAGACGCCCGCCAGGCACGCCTGCCAAGCCCCCACGAAGGCGGGCAAGCGGCGGTGCGCGAGGCCCTGCAGCCCGAGCCCGCCGCCAGCGCAGGGCAGGAGGGCCAGGTCGCGCGCGTCGTCTGGCAGAGTCTGGTGCCCAGTGAGCGGCCGCAGGATCTCGTGCACGTGGCCGAGAACCGCCGCGTCGTACGCCTGGCACCATGCCTCGTCCAGGAGGTGCGCTCGCGCGTGGTGCAAGGCCGCGCCGTTGGCGAAGGTGCGGAGCAGGACGAGCTCGTCCTGGGCGCGCAGCCCGTGCCCTCGGAGCCGGCGGAGGGCCGCGAGGTAGGCGTCGAGGTGGTCTCGGGCCGCCTGCGGGGCGGCCGTCGGCGAGAAGCTCGCCCTCGCGGGGTCGGCGCCCGGGCCTGCCCCCGCCGCGTTGCGTACGTAGGGCAGCGTGCTTCCCACGCACGTGAGGTCGGGCACTGCTGCCCTCGCCAGCGGCCCTGGGAGAGGCAAGTCTCGAGGGTTCCACACCTTGGTCTTCCGCGCGCTCAGGCGGAGGCCGCGCGCCGCCAGGAGCGCTGGCGCCGCGAGGAGCGCGGCGGCCAGTGCGCGCGGGCTGCCCACGACGTACACGTCGTCGAGGTAGGCCACCACCCTGGCGCCGGGGTCTTGGCGGCGCGCCGCCGCCTCCAGGTCCTCGTAGAGAGTCGCCGCCGCCAGCGCGAAGAACGCCGGGGAGAGGGGGCAACCCTGGTCCACCCCGCGCTCCGCCCTGACCGGCGCCGCCCTGGCCCCAGGAAGGCAGGCCCCGTGCGTGGTGGCCCTGCCGTACCACGCCTGCGCCAGCCGCGAGAGCTCCGGCAAGCGGCCAGCGACCTCCCGCAGCAGAGTGTCCCGGCAGAGCTCGTTGAACGCGTTGGCCACGTCCAAGGAGAGCACCGCGGCGCCGGAGTCCTGCTCCAGCGCGGTCGCCACGACGCGGTGCATCAGCTCGATGCCGCTTTTGCGGCCCACGCCAAACTGGCAGCGACCCACCGCTGCAGCGATGGCTCCCTTGTGCGCCTCCTCCTCCTCCTCCTCCTCCTCCTCCTCCTCCTCCTCCTCCTCCTCCTCCTCCTCCTCCACCTCCTCCTCCTCCTCCTCCTCCTCCTCCTCCTCCTCCTCCTCCTCCTCCTCCTCCTCCTCCTCCTCCTCCCTCCTCTTCTCCTCCCTCCTCCTCCTCCTCCTCCCTCCTCCCATCCTCCCTCCTCCCTCCTCCCTCCTCCCCTCCTCCCTCCTCCCTCCCCTCCTCCTCCTCCCTCCTCCCTCCTCCCTCCTCCTCCCCTCCTCCTCCTGCCCGCCTCCTCCTCCCTCCTCCTCCTCCGCCGCCTGGTCTCCCTCCTCCTCTCTCCTCCTCCCCCTCCTCCTCCTCCTCCTCGTCCTCCCTCCTCTCTCCTCCTCCTCCCTCCTCCTCCTCCTCCTCCCCTCCTCCTCTCCTCCTCCTCCTCCTCTTCCCTCCTCCTCGCTTCCCCCCCCCCCCCCCCCCGGACGCGCCGCCGACTCTCCCCTGCAGCACCACCCTGCCCGTCCCTCGCCCCTCGGCGCCCCCGCCCGCTCCACCTCGACCCGCCGGCCCTCGCCCGCCCCGCCCTCGACGTGGCCCTCGCTCGGACGTCCACTCCCTGTGCTGTGTTCGGTCTCGTGCGTGGCTTTCTCGCAGGATGCTCCAAGATGCTCCTCAAGAATCCCCGCCGAGAAAAAAGGTGCACGCGTCCGAGCGATATCGAGCTCGACGTGGCGTCACGCCGCCGCTGATCGAGGGATCGCCAGGTGAGTCTGCACCTCGCCCTCCTCTCAAGTGGCCCATGGGGATGCACATCATAACTTGACAAAAAACATGTACAAATCCCAGGATTCCGCATAGCTTATACCATAGTTTCTGGGTTTTCGTCTCCCCCCCCCTTCCCAACTTTTCTCAGGATCCTGGGGATCGACGCTTCATTGTGTCTATGCGTTGCCCCCTCCTGACCGTCGCACGGCGGTGATCCCCTTGAGCCTGCGGCTCCGAGGGCCAAGATCCCGCCCTGGGAAACCAAAACGTACCGATACCGCTACTCTTAGGTCGGGCCTTTCTCCTACAGGGGGATCTGGGGAGAAAAATTAAATATAGTACAAACATATTCCCAGAATGCCCCGAAACAGTTGAAAAATCGTCCCCATACTAGTTTTAAAAAGTATGTTTGAATATTCCCCCTGTAGAGGGACAGGCCCGATTTAATGCTACTCCCTAGACCTCTCCCCCGGCGCGTTTTGCCTAGAATTTCGAGGCGAACCCAGCGGTGGAAACGACGGCCTCCGAGGTGGCCCGGCAAAGGGGAAAACGAGGAAAAGGTAGTGGATACCTGTACGAGTATTCAGCGCGGGACTCGAAGAGTCCCAAAACCGCGGACGTGGGCAGCCTGGCTGCTGCCCAGTGCACAAGGCCAGCGCGATGCGGCGGTGGTTCTCCTCTTGGCCTTGTTCCTCCTCCTCCTCCTCCTCCTCCTCCTCCTCCTCCTCATTGTCCTTGTCCTCCTCCTCCTCCTCCTCCTTCTTCTCCTCCTTGTCTTCCTCCTCCTGGTCCTGCTCCTGGTCTCCTTCTTCTCCTCCTTGTCTTCCTCCTCCTGGTCCTGCTCCTGGTCGTCCTCCTCGCCCTCCTCCTCCTCCTCCTCCTCCTGCCTCCTCCTCACCTCCTCCTCCTCCCCTCCCTCCTCCTCTCCTCCTCCTCCTCCTACCCACTCCTCCTCCTCCTCATCATCATCATCATCATCACATCAGCAGCATCAGCATCATCATCATCATCATCATCATCATCAACACAGCAGCAGCATCATCATCACCATCACCATCACCATCACCATCATCATCATCATAATCATCATCATCATCATCATCATCATCATCATCATCATCATCATCATCCTAACCATCACCATCACCATCACCATCACCATCATCATCATCAGCATCATCATAAGCATCATCATCATCATCATCAGCATCATCATCATCATCATCATCATCTCATCATCATCATCATCATCCTCCTCCTCCTCCTCTTCATCATCATCATCATCATCATCATCATCATCATCACCACCACCACCACCATCATCATCATCATCATCATCATCATCATCATCAAA